GTGTGTGTGTGTGTGTGTGTGTGTGTGTGTGTGTGTGTGTGTGTGTGTGTGTGTGTGTTGGGGTGGTCTGCTTTACACCGTGTTAGTGTGTGTAATTACAGCCCTGAGCATTGAGCCAAAGCTCAGCAGAGTTTGGCTTAACTCAGCTTGGCTCAGTCGCTGAAGGTCACACACCTGAATTCATCTTTACAGGCGACAGTTCTGTAGGTAACAGCAAAAAGATGGCTGACGACAGCTGGGCCAACAGTCTTTAATCAAGTCTAACATCATCATTGTTTTCATTATCGTTACACTGTTTGTTTTGGGTAATTTATTGGGCCGTTTGACAGGGGAGACATGTTTCTTTAAATTTTCAGTTCCAGATTTATGTCTTGGCTAACAGGACACGAGACTGATGCTGCACCTAATTTGTCTCAGACGTCACAACACTAATCTGGCCGCACTGGAGTCGACTGTATTCAAGAAGGCAAATTGGAAAAATTGATTGGATTTGTTTGCTGATGAGGCTAGCTAACATTAGCGGTTATTAGTGAGTTGAATAAAAACACATTATCAATAGAGCGGAAAAATCACCAATTAAAACCCCCAAATCTCAGATCTGGATTCTAAAATTGTTGAAACATAACAACCATGATGTGGAAAGATTCATGGAAAAATTCAATAAATGACATACTGGGTTTGATTAAAATATACACCTTACCGTATTTATTCATGTATAATATGATTTCGAGAATAATACGATCATCATTTTTTAAACTTAAGAAATATTAAAAATCTAATTATCAATATCCCTTGTATAATATTACCCCCCCCCCCCCACACACACACACACACACAGACACACACTTTATGGATGATTTTTAGGTTAAAATTTCTAGTATTAATCATGAATAAATACAGTACTTTATTAAATCCACCATTTTCAATTGCTTGTTAATAAAAACTAATCAGCCAATGACAGAATCTCAATGCATATAAGAATTTAGACCTGATGAAGACAACTTACTGAAGTCTTAATTCTAAGTTTTAACTGAGCTGATTTGGTCAAATGTTCTGAAAAGAAAATATCTCAACTGAAACACAGATATCAGATTCTTTATGATCTAAAATATTGATGCTAACATACGAGAAGTAAACAAAAAAAAAAAACCATTCTCTCAGGTTTTAGCCAAAGCAGCAGCTAAAACCTGGATGGGTTTGATTGGACCGAGTGTTCCAGACTCACCTTGTTCACAGTTGACCCCCTTATAAGCCGGAGTACAGATGCAGATACCCTGGATGCAGGCACCATGGTTGGAGCAGGTGGGGTCGATGCACTGCCCTTCCTCCACGTTACACTCCGCCCCCTTCCACCCCTCCAGGCACACACACCGTCCTTTCTCATATAGGCCGTTCCCGCTGCACAATACCGGGCACGAATCTGCAACAAGAAGTAATTTGGATTAACGTCTCTAGGACCTGCATGCTAACTCTCATGCAGATGGTGTTTCAGTATATTAGGTGTGAGACCGCGTTAACCTGCCACGAGTGGGGCTACACATTCTTATCTCTGCTAGTGCGCAGATTCAGCAAATCCTTGAACAGCCTCTCTTTGCCTGTCTTTCTGTCTCTCTCTCTCACACACACACACTCAAGCTTATCCCTCACGCTGTTTCAATTTACTCAAGCACCACCTGAGCCTGGCTACCAAGGCAACCCAGGAATTGTAGAAAATCCTCCCAACGTTCCCCTTGCTCGTTCGAAGCGGGCCGTGAAAACAATCGTGAAAACGGAAGATTAGGAAGGAGAGCATTAGGCGTTTACAGAGCGAAGGTGAAAAAGCGGCACTTCCTCCACGCAGAGAGGGAGAGCCGTGTGGCTAATGTAATGACAGCCAGGAAGAAGAAAGTCAGCCAGCGTTGGAGGACACACTGACAGCTACAGCTCAGGACTTCAAATGCATTCGAGAAGAAATCCAGAACCATCTCTTTTTCTTTTACCGCCCGCTATTGAAGGCGCAAGGGCAATAAAGTTAGTGCTTGTGGCTGCTAGTGTTTGTAGTTAGCAATTTCTTTCTTAGAAAATAGTAGAGGGATTTGGGGGTCTGCACAGGGTGCAGTTGTTTGAGCCGTCACCTCGTAGCGAGAAAGTTGTGGGGTGTGCCTCCTGGTCTATCATGTGGCTTTTCTCCAGGAAGTTTAGTTTTCTTCCCACAGACAAAACCATGTTTGTTGGGTTAACTGGTAAATATAAAATGCCTTGAGGCGTGAGTGAGAGTGTGAATGGTTGTTTTATCTCTGTGACTCTAGAAGGACTTGCGACCTGTGTACCCCTCCTCTCACACAGTAACTCACACAGCTACCCTGCAAGAAAACGGATGGATGGATAGAGGAACTTGTATGAAACTTTTAGAAAACAATCACTCCATGTAAATCTACAACTAATTGACATTTTGAAATAACTTGATTCAAGATGGCTAATTGGGCTTTGACACACAAATATGACTAAAACTGAATACACACTCCAATCACAACTTACACCAAGAACTACACTTAAATCTTAGGCATCAACTATTGGCATAAATCTTGTCTTCCAAAAGTTCCAAAACAGGAACCAAACTCAGGGTCTTATTGCTGGAAGGCAACATTGCTAACTAGGGATGGGAATCTTTTACTTTCTCACAATTTGATTCAACTTAAAATCAGTTCTTCATTCAAAACTGATAATGCAAGCCCGTTTATCTGTCAAGTCACCAAAGTGCTTCATCTTCATTTCTGCAAATCTTGCACACAGTGAGGCTCATGTCAAACTTGAATTCATTCACTAAAAAAACACACACACAAAAAGGCAAATATTTTGCCTTCAAGAAAGAAGGGGATGTCTGAATCTCTCTTTCCTCCATTTTTGTAGTTTCCTCTTTGTTTTGGTGATTTCTCTGCATGCATACATTCCAGAACTGGCTGCATGGTGAGAGCCATTGGATTTTCTTTATTTTTTTATTTTTTTATTGTTTCAAATCCATTTTGGGACATTTCAAATAGATACTGAATTGTTAAATATAAAAATAGAAATCACGGTTCTGAAATGAATCGATTTATTTTGGTGCATCCCCATTGCTAATCGCCAAGTTGTCATGCTGCATAAAAGTCTGCCACAAATACACAGACTTTAATGGAACTTGCAGGAAGTAATCCTTGAATGGACTTCTACAACTGGTTAACGTTTGGATCCAACCTGAAATAAAACGGCTGCCACAGCCAACTGATCTGTGGTAGTAGCACCGAGTCATTGACAACACAAACTGAAAGGACAGCATACATCTCACGTGATTTCTCAGTATTGTACGAGATACAAGGTTTGACCAAAATAGCTACAACACTGTCATTTCTCATGATCCGCCTCAGTTTATTCTGGCATGAAAGCAGAAGTGTGATGTGCATTCATTCAAGGAGCGCTCTGCCTTTAATTATATTTCTGGGATCATTTGCAGTGAGGACCCCGCGTGTGCACTCATGCATGGGAGCATGTGTTATATGTTTGTTTGAACCGTAGTTAAACCCCAACGCTCCACAGAGTGATAAATCGAGGCTCTGCCTTTTTTTTATTTTTTACAAGCAATGCTAAAACCCGGTCTGTAAGCTTTCAAGCAGAGAACAACTGTGCGGCGGCACAAACAAATGAGCAAAGATGAGAGACGGGGATGAATAAATTATGAGCATAAATAAATCACGAGGAGCGATAATCATATCACCTGTTTCTACACAGTCAGACAGATACTACTGCTGTAATTTTTACAAAGATGGAATGTAAAAAGGGGGAGACGGGATGGAGCGGGGTGGTCCAATGAAACAAGGTGGGGGAGAGAAAGAGACTAAAGGAGAGTGAAACGGTGTTGTGATTCAAAAACATCTCGATAATCCACAATGTGACAGGTGATGGTTCCACATCCAGTGAATGTTTTCATGTAAGCTGCCAGTTAATATAATATAACACTAATCCCCTCTCTAATAAGCTATTATAACAATCATACAGTAAGCAGAAGGAAATAAAGGGTGGCTTGTGTGGAAAAACCACAGGATGTGATCAGCTCATAATTACTCTTTGTACCAAATAAGAAGACACATCTTACAAATATTTCTACCAAAAAATGTTCAAGAACAGAGTCTGTGAGCCCTGTGAGCCTAAAAAACCCTTCAGATCTTTTAAATTAGGGTTCTGTGGTAAAGCTGGTATCTCACTGGGCTGCAGCTGTGGGAGACAATTAAAAACTCCTAAGAAAAGAGCATTTTTAGTGTCTGTATCACTGAATTCTGAGTTTTACATGCACAACTTGTATTCCAGGTCATCCGCATCATTTTACTGCCTGCCTCTGTCCACTTTGGCTGCCGTATGTTCTTTATTTCATCTACTGAGTTCACTTTTGAAATGACGAATTTCAAACTAGTATCCAACAGTGGCTGTGAGACTTTAATTGGAGGTTATGAACAGTTATTATCTTACCTGTTGTAGATGCCTCTTAGAAAGTCCTCAGTTTGAGGAAATTGTTTGATTAATAACCTATTTCTGATGGGACTGACACGCTAACAGCTAGTCTGAGCAGGGCCAAGAACCAACTGGATTACTGTCATTATACTGTAAATCTCCAGTCTAAAAATATTTCAGGCAAAAGCTTCGTCATAAATTTGTTAATAGAGCCGTCACTTTTACATTTTGAAAATCAAAGGTTTTCAGGTTTTGGCTGCACCGGAAATGCTAAAGCTAGCTGCTTCTGCTCCTATTTGTGCTTTTAAATAAATATAAAATGTGAAATGATGTGTAGCTAATTGTCAAATGAAAAACTGACTGCAATATGAAGCTTTATAAAATAATGTTCCAATGAAATCTATGAAACCTTAAGGATTGAACATGTTTTAAGTCAGCAGCAGTCCACTCTGGTCTTGGATTCACTCAAGCTAATTTATTAGTCCAGTCAGATTTAGACTGCATTTCTCTAAAGGTGCTATGTAACACATGAACGATATTAACCTTTGCACATAACCCACTTCAAGAGATCCAAACTGCTGTTTTAGAAGTTTTTTTTTAATTATTTTAAAATATCACTGAACAAATTGTTCTAGTTTTCTAATTTTAAGTACTTTCATTAAAAAATAAAATAAGTGGAATCAAAGTGACAGAAAATAGATGAGAAATGAATACGGGAAACTCGATTCTGTAGGAGAAGCAAAAGTTATGGCAGAAGATCAATACTGAACCCGAGTGACTGTTGGTGTTCTGGCTGAATTAGTTCTGGTTTATACTGAGCAGAATAACAGACGTGTGTTTGGATTTCATAACAAATAATTGACAGCGAACTAAACAATACAGCACAAAAAAAAAAAAAAAGAAAGAAAACAAATCAAAGGAAGGAAAACCAAGATTTGATAGAAAAAAAACATAATGTTTCTTAATATGCAGGCAGAATTAAGACTGGATTCAGTCCAATCAGTTACTCAGAACTGGCATCAAAACCTGGCTGACACAAAAATATATAAATAAATAAATAAATAAATAAATAAATAAATAAATAAATAAATAAATAAATAAATAATCAAAATCAAGACAGAGGGTGTGGTTTTTGAATTAGAGCATCTAGAGAACAACTTTTGCAGCTTTTCATGTCCTCTGATAGAATTATTTATTGTCTGGTTCTAACGTAAAAAACATTTGCGATATTATTATTTTTAGTTTTTTTTAATCAGGAATTGTCTTTAAACCCTCACAATGAAAATGTCACCACAACTACCCTGTTCCACTTGCGTACAACCACGAGAATTAGAAATATCTTGTAGTACGCATAATATACGTAAGTTGATGCTTCAACTTTCGGTAGGTCAACGATCTTATTGTTCCATATTTTCCTAACAGAGCACTTCGCTCTCAGACTGCAGGTTTACTTGTGGTTCATCGAGTTTCTAAAAGTAGAATGGGAGGCAGAGCTTTCAGTTATCAAGCTCCTCTCTTGTTGAACCAACTTCCATCCAAAGCAGGTGCAAGGGATTCTGATGTTATCAATCCATGAAATGGAYGTTATTAGGCGTTATCAGTCCCATACAATGGCTTACGAGAGTTCCTACTGTGCCTTCTAGGCTTCAGACTGTCCTGACAGTACCCCCTAGTGGGTTAATGTATTAATGACTAGGAATGTGTAAATAACCAAAACATGTTGYAATAAATTTTTTGTGTCTGTGTCGAGCCCTGGTCTCCTGCTCTCTGGTCCGACGCTCTACCCATTGCCCTATTGAGACGCCACAATACAAGTCTGTCGTATGTCATCTGCTCTAAGGTTAACCTTGGTGGCTTTAAGCCTCATATTTACCAGATTTTGTATGCCTCATGTTAACCAGATAGTGGCTTTATGCCTCATACTAACCAGCTGACAATCGGAAGCCATTCTATGGGAGG